GGCAGAAAGTAACTGACAGAGTACAATGTGTGTGTGCTTCTGTGCCTTCAAGTTGAGTGTTGACTTACAGCAGCCCCGCTGATTTCAGAGTTTTCTCAAGCAAGAAATACTCAGAGGTAGTTTTTGCCAGTTACTTTGTCTGAAATATAGCACACAGCATCTAGTATTCATTGTCAGTCTCCCAGCCAAGTACTAACCAGGACTAACCCTACCTAGGTTCTAAGAGCACATGGGACTTATTGCCTTTAGAATATAAGCAATCATAATACAATGATGCACATGTCATCAACAGGCTTCTGGCTCCACTGAGTTGTCACAGTTTTAGTATTATTTTCCTTGAATACTCTGAAGTTAGCCACCCCGAGTCCCTCTGCAGAGGTCAAGATAGGATGGGATACAAATGTCCAAAACAAACAAACAAACAAACAAATAAGAAGCAATATAAGTATAGGAAGTTGAGGCTTACTTCAGCACTGGAGATGGAACAGAATATTCTAATACATCTGAGGGCAGCATGCTAGCTAAGGAAGCCACATGGAATACAAAATAAAATCCTGTCCTCCTGTATCTCAGAGGTATCTCCTACCTTTTCCTTATTATCATCTACCTAAGGCTGAAACCTTATTTTGCACCATGTATTTTGCACCATTCATAGGAAATGGGGCTAGTACAACTTAACTTACATGCTAACATAGAGAAGAATGGATGGCTACATAGAATGTGTCCTAGAACAAATCAGACATGTGCTCTCCCTAGAAGCCAAAAGGACACTTTGGTCATATGACTTTGGTCATATCATGAGAAGAGATGATTCACAAGAAAAAACTATAATGCTTGGTAAAATGGAGGGCAATAGGTAAAGAAGAACATCACATTTCAGGTGGATAGATGTAATCAAGGAATCAATGGTTGCCCTGAGTCTGCAATACTTGAACAGGGATGCTGAGAGGGTGACTTGGGGGGTCTTTCCTTCATAGGATCACCACAAGTTCAAGTCAATTTGAAGACGACAACAAAAGCACAGACAAATATTTTAATATGTTTTCATCAGCTTCCCTGTTCATTGGAAACCAAGGACTGCATCCTGTACATAAAAGCCCAAGAAAGAAGAAATGATAACAGCAATGACCTGAAGTTTCAAAGCACACCTACCTAAACTGCCCAAATAAGCAACTAATTCTGCAGACTAACTCATAAGAAATTCTTGCCTTAACCCAAAGCTAATGATATTTATTACAGCAAATAATTAAACAATGAATACGTTGTACATTGCTGCAATCAAAGAAAGGCAATTGTATGGAAATAAAAAGATTTTTTACTTACCCCTTTTCGCTAAAACCTACTGCTTACCATTAATTTATAACATGCTAACATGATGTGCTTTTTAAAAATGTGTACAAAGAAATCCAAACACAAGTTACAATTCTCCAGTTAAACAAACAATAAAACAAATCAAAACAGAAATGATGATAAAACAGGCCTTCCATCTTACCATTTCTTATTATTTCCTATGCATAAGATAAAAATGGTACAGAATAAATTCTTATGATCACAATGGGAATAAAGAGAATAAGCAAACAAACAAGTAAATCCAACAGGAATTTTTTATCCGGAAATGGCAACAGAACAGAATACCAATCAAATGCTATCAAGGAAAAGAGAGGGTGTCCATTGATTTATCAAACACTGCCTGATATTCTCAGGGGCTCACTTTGCAGGATCTGATGCAACTGCCAATGTTTTTTCTGACTTTCCTAGTGACTCAAATGCAATCTTGAATCAACAAGTCCTGTTCTGCACAAGGAGGAAGCCAAGATATTCTGCAGCCCAAACACACCCATGCTTACTTCAGTGTCTCATAAAATTTCATGGGATCAACATCCAAATAATTATGCACAAGATGGCTGCTTCACAATGCTGCATAGATATTGAGTACCATTAAGTACTGTGTTTGATGGTGCTTTCTCCTAAATACAGTCAGCCCTCTGTATCTACAGATTCAACCAGCCATGGCTGAAATACATTTCAGGGGGAAATCCAATAAGAAATCCCTAGTTTGGCCATGCACCAACACTATGCTGAAATGTAGGCATATTCTGCTGTAGCCTCCTGACATTTCACAAATCCTCAGCCTTTTTCTGGCACACATTTGAGTTGTTCACCATTTTATATAGGGGGTGCCATATCACTATATTTTACTTACAATAGAATTGTATATAACAGGACTGGAGCATCCATGGATTTTGGCAAGCATGGGGAAGTGAAACCAAACCCAAGTGACCACCAAGAGCCCACTGTAGCAGCTGAAGCCTTGTGTCTCTTTTTCCTTAATATTTCTGCTAGTTTGCACTTGCCTTTCAGTGTAGATTCTGCCCATCTCTACACGACCAAAAACCAAAATTAACCATTAGAGTGGTTTCAGCCTCTTCTCAGAAGAAGCCAAAGAAGAAACACTTATGAAAGCAAGCCCTTCATGTGATTTGCAAAGAACTTAAAAAGCTTTTTCCTTCTGCACAATCTTTGCACTCTAGAAGAAATACTACATGGGACATACATCACTTCAGTGAAATATTGCCTATCTGTGTATATATTTTTTGCAATGCTTGTGTGTTTTGACTGTACTGTGACCCACTGTGAGCCACGAGCAGAGGCAGGTAAGAAAATTATTGTTGTTGTTATTGTTGTTGTTGTTGTTGTTGTTGTTGTTATTATTATTATTATTATTATTATTATTAGGTATATAGCATGGTCCCCGTATTTGTGGAATTGATGAATACAGTTTCATTTATTCACATAGGTTTGTGCATAACCTGGAAGAAAAAATGGAGACCACCCCTTTCCTTCTTTCTGGTTGTGTGGGTATCTCTGCAAAGCATCCACAAAGGCCAGGAGCTTGCATGGAGCTCCATGGGTGGCTGGAAATAGTGGCAAGACAGAGGGGATGGTTCAATGAGGCTAATGGGGTCTTGGGTTGGTCGGACTGTGTAGACACCAACACGGCAATGCAATGGGTTTGACCTGGAATGTCTCATTGCTTCCAGGGCCAGTCCAGAGCATTTATTTAGAGACCACTGTAGACTTGCTTATAGATGTGTTGCTTCTGGAATGACATGCCCTCCATCTCTAACAGGACGCCACAACAACTAGAAGCTAGAGCAGGGGTCCTCAAACTTTTTAAACAGAGGGCCAGGTCACAGTCCCTAAAACTGTTGGAGGGCCGGATTATAATTTGGAAAAAAAACTTGAATAAATTTCTATGCACAGTGCACATATCTTATTTGTAGAGCAAAAACACTGAAAAACAATACAATAATCAAAGTTAAGAACAATTTTAACAAATATAAACTTATTAGTATTTCAATGGGACGTGTGGGCCTGCTTTTGGCTGATGAGATAGGATTGTTGTTGTTGTGTGCTTTCAAGTTGTTTCAGACTGAGATTGACCCTGAGCGAGGGCTGGGTAAATGATCTTGGGGGGCCGTATCCGGTCCCGAGGCCTTAGTTTGAGGACCCCTGAGCTAGAGCAACTAAAGGCCAGGCATTTCAACTCGAAATATCACAGCTCCTTGTATGGTACTGAAGTGCTGCATCTTTCTCATATTTTAGAGAAAAGGGAGATTTTCTGGATTTATAAATGGCAGAGTCTAATGCCACATGGCCTCAGTTTAGAGGATAACACTATTCATTGATGAATACTGGAAGGAGTGTTGTAAACAGACCCCTTGGTTACAGCTCAGTTTTATCTTTAGCAACTTAAGAAGGATGAAATTGGCTTTTTCATGGCTTCCACCCTGCTAGCAAGAGCCTGGCAATATTTTGGATTTTATTAGCAGATCTAGTCTTGAAGAGGCCTATCCTTCAGGCTCCTTCCCCTGAGGACTGCTTTTTAAAATTATGCCAACAATAGAAAATGCCTTCAGTGGTATGTTATTTTTGGCAGCTTTCAAGTAGACCTGCCATGTTTAGATTAGACATGGTTTGTCCATCATGGAATGGGAAGGAGGTGCCCTCAATGCCCTGATTAACCAAAGGCCGCTCCCTTTGATCAAAGCATATCTTAAGTGAAACAAGTCAAATTGTTTTAAACTATAGGTTTTTAAAGTTCCATATTTCAAGGCTTCAGATCTGAAACTATGCAGAATTTCCATTTTGACCATGATGCTCAGACTACACTTATGCAAAAAAGGGAAAACTCATTTCACATGGTCAATTTCGTTTTAGGCCTGCACTGTGTCAACATTGTACTATTGCAGGCTAGCAAAACACAGAGTTGTGCTAGGTCCTCCAATACAATTCAATGGTAACTTACAGGAGAATCATAACACATAATAGCATGGAGAATGTAGAAAAATCCCAAAGAGACCATTTTCTCCCAGGTATTGATAACTGTTGTTAGAGATAAGGGTTCCACATTTACTGTGATTTTGCTATATTTATTTTTGGACTTCTCCCTACACATATTTAGATCCACAGAATCAGAGAATTGGGAGGAACCAAAAAGTCCACCTATTTAGAAAGAAGGTAACCTTGCTCAATTCAATGGAACATGGTCCCAGCCTAGAATTTCTCCTGGAAAAAGGATGGATTTGGAGTCAACTTTTTCAAATGAGATAAAAGTGCCTTATTCAGATGAGCAAAACAAGGAAAAACCATAACTGCACAAGAAAATATCATTCTCTTCCTGTGAGCTCATAACTATCACCAAGGAAGCATCTGCCAAACATTTCTGAGGTTATTTCCGACCACACAGTGACACACTAGCACTTCACACACCGCGATATTCTGGAGGCTGTAAACATCTAAAGAAGGATTCACATGCAGAGCTAGAGCAATGTTGTAAAAGCTAAGCTTCAAAGGCAAACCAGAGAGCGTAATTATTTCCATGTTTGTTTTAAAAGTTTATCAAATTGTCCAGTATTACACCCTTGAGTCTGTTTCTAGAGCACAGACATCTTCATCCTCTCAAAACTTTGCAAACAAATAAAAAGGCACAGACTTACAGAAGAATGCTGGATCGGTATCCATCCAGGCGATTCGACCGAGCATTTGTGGGCCGGGCACCTGGTATGGCTCTGCTGCAGAAAAGGAAACAAAACAGAAGGTGTGTTAGATAATCTCACAACAAATTACTGGAAATATTCCAATGGAGTATTGTTTGAGAAACAGCTGTAAACTCAGTGATAAAGCACATAGTTTGCATTTAAAAAGTCCCAAGTTGAATCTTTAGCATCTCCAAAGTTTATGGGTGAGGACAGATACCTGCCTGCTATTAATCAAAGACTAGTTTACCAACGTAGAGCCTTTCCACACAGCCATATAAACCAGAATGGTAATGGCGTTCCATGCAGTCATGCCGGCCACATGACCTTGGAGGTGTCTACAGACAACGCCGGTTCTTCGGCTTAGAAATGGAGATGAGCTCCAATCCCCAGAGTCGGACAAGACTGGACTGAATGTCAGGGGAAAACCTTTGCCTATCAAGGCAGAAAATCCCACAGTATCTGCTTTGAACTGAGAGCTGTTCCACACAGCCATATAACCCAGAATATCAAGGCAGAACATCCTACAATATCTGCTTTGAACTGGGTTATCTTGAAATGGCAGGGGGAAGGTTTCAGGAAAGGAGAGACCAAGAGAGTTCCGGAGGTCTAAAAAGCCCAGATTTTATTACCAGCTGGGACCCTGGTGAGGAGTTCTCTCCTAAAGCACCAGAGCAAATGATAGAGGGACGGACTGTGGCTTTTATAGATTCCAGGTTCAAGCAAACTAAGAACATGCTACTACATACATTTACATCATTCACTGTGTCATCTTAGCATCATAAGAATATCAAATTCTAACTTCCAACATGCAAAAAGCATGTCTCTGTGTTTCTAAAGAGCAAGCATGGCTTACACTCATCAATCAAGGGACCCACTTGGACCTGTCAAGAAGCTCCTTCCTTAGAGCCTAGATATACCAGCCTCTGTGGCTTATCTCTCTCTTGGAATGTCCCCCTCCCTCTTGCTGTGCTTGTTAGCTTGGGTTTCTTATACAGAGAGAGCCTGATTTTTCTATGCATTTCAGTGTTTGTAAAATACACACAATTTATAAATCAATCAATCAATCAATAACTATCTATTTTTCCAATATCTCCTCATCAATTTGAGTCCACACTGCCATATATTCCACCTCAAAGCAGATAATGTGGGGTTTTATTCAGCTATATGGAAGGGGCCCAGGATAGACCACTGGTCTCATTTGCAATGTTCACAGATGTGAAAGAAACATAGAATCATACACATGAATGATACCCAATGAATGATCCAACCCAATCCCTTGCCAGGGCAGCACCTCTGATAAGCAGGCATCTAATCTCCTTTTAAACACCTCCAAAGAGAGAGAGTCCACCATATTCCAGGGTAGTCTATTCCCCTGTCAAATATATCTTGCCATTAATAAGTTCTTCTTAATATTTAATTGAGATCTCTGTTCTTGGAACTTGAATCTATTCGATTCAGGTACTATCCTCTGAGTAGCAATAAAGAAGCTCATTTCATCTTCTGCTTGATAGCCCTCTAGATATGATTGATTGATTGACTGCTTATTTAGATCCTCCTCTCTCTGTCTAAAGATCTCGATAAAATCAACCTGACTAATTTAAACTGTGTAAAAATAAAATGACATTTCAAGGATAAAAGTATCTTAAGCAATTTAACCAGCTTGGGAGACAGATTAAAATTGGTTGAAATAATTTACAATGATGTAAAATCATGAATGTGTGAGTGTTTTTATGGCATCACTTTGGCCTCAACTAAAGAACTCTCAGTTGGCAACAGAATAACAATACTGATGTCAATCAAGCTCTCAAGGGTAAAGTGTTCCATGAATCCAGGAGCATCTATCTACACTATACAATTAACGCATGTTAACATCACTTTAACATCCATGGCTCAACACTATGGAATGATGGGATTTGTAGTTTAATGAAGCTCCAACACTCTTGGGCAGAGAAGGCTATTGACCTTGTAAATGTACAACTTCCATGAGCCAAAAGTGTTGAGTCATGGCCATTACATTTCATTAAGTCTACAGTGCAACTCCTAATACTTCAAGATGGTTATAATGTCCTCTCTCAAATCTTTTATTCTCTAGACCAGGGGTTCTCAATTTTTTTCAGCTTTTTTTTTTTTCGTGTCAGGAGCAACTTGAGAAATTACAAGTTGCTTCTGGTGTGAGAGAATTGGCCATCTGCAAGGATGTTGCCCAGGGAACACCCAGATGTTTTGATGTTTCGCCATCCCTGTGGAAGGCTTCTCTCATGTCCCTGAATGGGGAGCTGGAGCTGACAGAGAGAGCTCATCCGCACTCTCCCCGGATTTGAATCTGCAACCTGTCAGTCTTCAATCTTGCTGGCACAAGGGTTTAACCCATTGCGCCACTGGCTGCAGAGAGCCCTTTTTGAAGCAAAAGTTTCTTGAGGAGCCCAAAGAAGTGTGTATGTGTGCATGTGTGTGTGTGTGTAGAGTGTGTGTGTGTGTGAATACACACAAACTGGCCCATGACTTTTTCGCCCATGTCCAGCATTATTTTTAATTTTAATTATATTTGGCCTATCCATAGATTTTAAAGTGTGTTGTCCTATTGATAATGCTTATTGTTTTATTGTCTTGTTGTTTATTAAATTGCTTGTATTGTTGTTGTTACTGCTTGTATTGATGTATTTTGGGCTCGGCTTCATGTAAGCCACACCGAGTCCCCTGGGGAGATGGTAGTGGGGTATAAATAAAGTGTTATTATTATTATTATTATTATTATTATTATTATTATTATTATTATTATATTCCTCTCTGTTTGTGCGTATCTCAAGCATGGGCCAGGCCAGTGACAAATAGATGGACAGTGTTTATGTGAACTAATTCACACAGTGCAAAAAGAAAAAAGAAAAGAAAAGAAAGGGCAATATATTTTAAATGAAGAACAGTTTTAACCAACATAAACTTAGCAGTATTTCAGTGGAAGACCCCAGGGGCCATCCAGTCCAACCCCCCTTCTGCCACACAGGAAAAACACAATCAAAGCAGCCCAACATATGGCACACAGAAGACAGGGCGACTTGGAAGGTGCTGAACAGACTGCACTCTGGCACTATGGGATGCAGAGCTAACTTTAAGAAATGGGGCTACGAAGTAGAGTTCATGACATGAGAGTGTGGAGAAGAGCAAACCACATACCACCTATTACAATGCAGCCTGAGCCCTGCCACATGCACAACGGAGGACCTTCTTATAGCAACACCAGAGGCACTCCAAGCAGCCAGCTACTGGTCAAATGACTTTTAATAGAATGCCAAATTTTTAAACTTTGTGTTTTCTCAAATACATCACAATTGCACCCTTGGTTTGCTCCTGACACAATAAATATAAATAGTGCAACAGATGGGCATCCAGCCATTGCAGTAGTAGTAGTAGTAGTAGTAGTAGTAGTAGTAATAATAATAATAATAATAATAATAACCACAATAATAATAATAATAATAATAATAATAATAATAATAATAATAATGGCAACCCCCTTCTGTCATGCAGGTAAAACACAACCCTGTGTGGTGAGAGAGAAACAGGGTTTTAGAAGCAATGAAAGCAGGGGGGTCTGGATGGCAAGAAGTCTGGTCAGCAAAGGAAGCATGGACCAAGGGTTTGGGGCAGCAAGGAGAAGAGCCTGAATGTTGGGGGAGGCAGAGGAGAAAGGGCCTGTGTTCTGTTAGGATGTTGTTGTTGCTGTTTCTGGCAGCTCAAAACTTTAATTTTCCTGCATTTTTCAGGAGGAGAAAAGAGGAGGCAGGAAGCACCATGGCACCGCAAAGCGCCTCACTGTCACCCAAAGAGCCCAAAGGGATCCACAAAGCACTGTTTGAGAATCCCTGCTCTTGACTAAGCATACCACTTCTACCATAGGTTACAAACGACTACCATGGCTCAGGTAGCGATGGCTTCAACATATTGTTATAGTTCTTTTTCTTCAAAGCATCCTTCCAAGTTCTGCTTCAGACTATGTGCCTCAGGGCAGTATTCCCTCCCCACCAGTATGCCTTCTCCATTATGAATGCTCACTTCTCAGCTGTAAATATTTCTATCCCCGCCTTCAGTGCAGTGGAAAATGTGAGTTGTATACTAATAACCTTGTTCCAAACTCCCTCTCTTTCTCCCCCTGAGCTAATATAGTATGTTGTTCTCACAATTTGTTAATATGTGATAATCTGGCACCCAAGAGAGAGAAGGGTTAATTTAACTTTCAGCTTCCTGCAGGGCTGTATGATTTTCTACTCAAAGAGTTCTGAGCAGATCATTTCCCTTGCCATTTTTTGTGATTCAATTATGTTTGTGCAAAGACTCTATACCAAATGAATCAAGGCCAGGTTCAGGTTCGCTGAATTGTAAAGCTCAATATAATTTGATTCAGTATTTTAATTATTCCGTAAGTTACCTTACATGGGCAAAGAGGAGACAAATTAATATTTTCAGCAGATAAAGAAAAAGTTGCAATCATCCAACGGCTAGTGTTGAGCAAAAGTAAGTAGCAACTAGATCCAAAGCTCCTAGTAGATCTCTAGTTGATGTACAATAAATGATTTACCAACAAAGGCTCACTATCAGGCTGCAAAAATGAAGAAAACTTCATTTCAGCAGCCTAAGGACCACAGCCCAATATCAGAAAACTCTTAGGGGTACATTCCAGTATTGGGCAGCGCTAAGAATACAGAGAAGAGTAAAATAAAACTGGGTACAATATAACCTCTACATTCATGAAGGATAAGTTGCAGGACTTTGTGTGGAAACAGGAAACCATGGGTTATACAGAATCTTGTTAAATAACTTCCCACAGAAGCATACCATAGAATCACCTGGAAGACCTATGTTCTGTCGCCGCTGGAGCTGAAATTAAATGCTTCTAAGAGAGGATGCAAGGCCTGCGTCCAGCAGGAAGCCCAGGGGCCCGAGAAAGAACCTTTAGAGGAATTTTCCCTATTAAACAGGCTTTAGGAGACATAAGCTCAAATACAACAGTCTTTATTAAAGAACAAGCAGGAATTGTA